AACAAACCTAAAAGCTGGTCGGCTTCTTAAAACAAAATGAATCTAACAATCTTTGTAATGGCATCAGAAGAGTCAGGTGGAATGCAGTAATGTATACTATTACAGTGCTAGTACTACTACGCTGCTGTCTGGAAAAGATTTAAAGAAAATATGTTTAAAAAGAGTTCAGTTCCTTTTTCTGTTTAATATGACCACTGCTGCAGTCTTAGCAAGACTACATAAAAGGCTGTGGTTGGTTGATATATGAATTAAAAATTAAAACAAATAATAAAAAAAGATAATCATTATAATGTCTTTTAATAGTCTATCTACTTTGAAATATCAAAGTTCGTATTCATACCGAATGCCAATATTGATATGTTATCTTTCAAAAACACGTGTGGATCCAGGGACCTGATACTTCATAACAGAATTTCTCCACCACCAGCTGTGCACCTGTCAGACTGTGTTTCTTGTTTTCCTGCTGCAGTTCAGTGTCTCATTGCCTTCAGGTGAAGTTTATTTAAGTAGGTCAACTGTGTGAGCTGCTAAGTTTGGAGGTACTATAGCATCAGTAACAAAGACAGGAGCAGGGCTAACTGAAATATTTTGTTCTGTTACGACAGGGGTCTCAAACTGACATTTGAGGAGGGCCACTCTCACTTCATAGGTGGGCCACATCAGTGTTCAATACAAAATAAAGCTGTGATAGTTTTAGATATAATACTCTTTAATACTGTAGTGCAAACACCTACTGTATTTGTCCATTCTTAGATCAAACTAAGGCCTTTTAATAATTAAAAGATGTAAAACTAGAAAATAGGGGCAAACTATTATTGACATCTATCGTAACAGGCCAGATGTGAAAACTGCGTGGACCCGTTTTGGTCAGAGTCCATTCTGTTATGACATGAGTATTTTAATAACACCTGAAGATGTCCTTTAATGCTGAATACTCTAATATTACTCTTAGTTTGATTTGATATATCTTGATATGATATGATCTTTAGACTTTGATATTGTTATTATCAACTTTATTTGCATAGGTTTATAATTTTTCCTCTTTGTGTCCGTTTGAAGACTTTAAGGGAAATACAGGAAGATTTGCTTCAGTTTAGATTGAGAAAAAAAAAATGCCTCCACGCATTTGACTGTCCTTTTTCCCACATTTGGCAGGTATAAAATAATTACTAAACAAATATCGGTTTGGAACTTAGTTTTGGATACTACGCAAATGAAAATACTCTTGTATTTGTTTGTAAAAAAACAAACAAAAAGAAAACTCAAGGGCAACCTTAACTGCAATGCTAAGTTTAACACATTTTTTTTTTTTTTTTTAGTTTGTCTCAGCAACATGAATCTCTTTGTGGACAATCATAAAAAAACATTCCTGTTAAAGAACATCCCTCACCTTTAAAGGGACTCTCAACACCCTCCTCATTTTTGACACCACCTTCCAGTCTGTTTGATCTCAGCAAAGGAGAAAAAACACAGTCAAATGCAGTAGGAAAAAAAGACTAATTTGTGTGTGTGTGTGTGAAAAAGAGAGGTACAAAGACAATCATTAGATGTGTGTTGACCCACTTTTCTACAATCTTAAAGTTCTTCTTCCTTCCCCTGCTCTATCTCCTCTAACTCTGCCCTGGCATCCTGAGGAGGCAGCAGTGTCTATGGCAACCGTGCTGTGGTGAGAGAAGACGGGGAGGCTTCTTATTCTCACTCATTTTATTTATTTTGACATTCTCTCTGTCATTTTTTTTTCTTTTTGTTCGGGTATTCAAGCTCAAGGCTCTTTCCCCGGCATGCATTTCAGTGCTGACTTTTTAATTATACAGGTTTTCGATTTACTCTAAAAGTGCCTGCATAATGCCAGACCTACGGTGGCAGCAAGGTTCCTGTTTAGCCTAGTTTGCATCGAATTACCTTCCAAGTCTATTTTAATGTATAAATTATAAAATGGAAATGTAACATCCATAACTATGATAACTGCACATACAGTAAGAGGCGATGCACTGCAGTACTTACTGTTAGAGAGGACCTAACAACGGTCAATGTGAAGGGAACTGGAGGAGTAAAAAATGTTGTTCTCAACATCTTCTTGTTGCTTGATATGTGGACTGTTTTGACATTGACGGTACTTTAAGGCTTACTCCTGATACCTAGATAATGCCTCCCAAAGCCTTTAGTCTATGTGAGTGTGTGTGCGCGTGTGTGTGAGCGTACCTACCATTTCCCTGGCACAGTCCCATCACCCCTGCCCAGCAGTTTGAAGCTGAGCACTACTGGCAAAGACGGAAGGGCTTTTGGGACCTGCAGCCGTATGAATTTTTCATTTACTTTCCTCCGCCAACTCTCACTTACCTACTGCCTATCTCTGTCTTTGTCTCACTCGTTTTCTCCCTCCCCCTTCCTCCCCCCATTGCTTGTCTTCCTTCTCTCTCGCTGACAACTATTGTCTTTTGCTCAGTCTGCCATAGCACCTGGTGCATTTACAACAGGGAGGGGAAAACAGAAAAAAAACACACACACCTATATAAACCACACACACATAATATCCCATACGCCACACACACAGTATGCACGGTTCAGTCTTGCTCTAACACAGCATGTCACCTGCAGATATAGAAAGAATCTTCAAGGTAGTAGCACTCGCAGTTTTACTTTTCCCTTCCTTTTCGGGGTCCCTGAGGCTGAGTAGGTGGAGAGAGGGCAGAGACACATGAAGCAAACTTTTCTGTTTAGGAGGAAAACAACACACAGCAAGAGCGCACACTCATACAACAAAAGATTGTTTTTGCATGCGTGTACACAGTACTGCCACTATAAATGGGTTTTGTTTTTGTTTTTTTGTTTTTTTAAGTACATACTTCATTCGCAGCCCAGAAAATAGACCGTAAAACACTTTTTAGATTGTATCTGTCCAGGTATTTCAGATCTAAGTCAATAGCATGTTACTGCAGCCTGGTCATACATTATACAGCGGCTGAGTTGTGTGGAGTTAAGCAGTGATTTTGTCCCCCTCCCTTCATGCCATGAGGTGGTGAGAAAAAGGAAATCGGTCGCTTCGTTGCTCCTCATACTCTCGGAACAGTCAGAAGATTCTCTTGATCAATTATTGATCAAAGCCATTACAAACCTCTGCAAAGTGTCACAAGTCTGCAGAGTAATTTATAGTGTCGTGGTGTATGGCAGTGTGTTTGTGTGTACGGTGTAGATACTAGATGGCATGGACTACGGTGCATACAGATAAGGAGAGAGCAGGAGGCAGGAGGTGGGGGTACGAAATACTTCTGATTATGTGGATTAGTAACAGTGGTTATTACCGTTCATTATTAGTATTACTGAAGTATGGCATCTTTAACTTTGTTTATGGCATCTTCAACTTTTCGAGAATATCTGCAGCGTCATCGTTATTAAAATGAAAATCCACTTTGGAAATTAAATTGCTCTGCTTTGACATTGGAAAGTGAGTTCAGCGCCTACAAAAACACAATGGCGTCTCTGTAAACTGTAAAAGGCGACAAGCGATAACACCGTCAGGTGACATTTTTTGGCAAGGGTCCACTGACAGTTTGTGCCTGACTGCGTGGCCCTATATAGTTTTCACTTAAGATATATTACATTCAAATGAGTTTTACTTGTAGGGCCAAATCGGGGTATGTTCCTATAGCCTAGTAAATCACAATAGGTGCCGTCATGCTGTCTTAGGATTTGTTCTATTATTAACCGACTCTGGAGCGGCTCCAGGAGTTCATAAATCATGCTTAGTCTTGTGTTTCCACTGCTCGGCTCATGTAAAGAACTCGCCTGTATGCTTGAAGAAAAGCAGTTCTCGTTATGAAAATGCAAAACATCACAAGGCAGCAGACTATCAAAATCCTATGGTTGGATATTATTATAGCTTTTTTTTTTCAAATGAATCGGTTGCCCAGAGCTCTTTGTAGCATCAGCTTATGTTTTGTGAATTGCTATAAAAAAATACTACTTCTATTCCTTAGCACCTGCTAACAAAGGCCATTTTTTTTTAATTGAGTCGTTTTGTTGTAAGTTACCATTCTAAGTAAGGTGACTGTTCACCATGTGTATATTATAGAATGGCTGTGCACAGTAAGTAGACATATGGGTGTTACACTGTGTCTGCTTCCCTCCCTGCAGACAGGATGTGCTGTTCAAGCTCTATTGTAAAGAATAGAGAAGCAGGCAAAGGTGAGGACCACAGGCAGTCTTCTTGGTCCACTAAGACTAATTGCAGGTCCAGCAGTGCTCCACCAAACTACTCCAATCTACTATCCAAAAACAAGTTCTGGCCACAGACTTTTCTCATAGGAAATTGCTACCAAAAACCATATCTCTGAGAAAGCATGTTCTTAATGCAGAAAAATAGCACTCCAGGTACACTGGAGTGAGGAAAGAATGAAATATTTAGCTTTGGCAGAGGGCAGTATCTTCCCAGAAGGCCTAGGGACTGGTGTGATAATGACTGTTTACAGGCAGAGGTGAGGCATCATGGTAGTTATTTACAAGTTTGAGGCTGAAGATAGTAATTAAAGTAGTTGATAAGGCTTAGAAAATAAACAGATTTTTACCCAGCAATTTTCTCAGAGAGGCGTCTGAAAAAAACTGGAAGAATTGTCTGAATATGCCTAGGATTACATAGAGAGACGGCATTGTTTGAGTCAGCCTGCATTCACAGAAGATTAGTTTTTGGTTTTACTGGATTTCCCCGGCGCATAATGAATATTTGAAACTTCTTAGAGTTGATATATGTTCATCGTCATGAGGGCTTTGGAAGAAAGTTTCTTGACAAAAATAATTTGTACCTGTTACCGTTCATCGCTCCATCCCGTGAAGACGTAAACAGCTCAATATATCAGGTTCTTAAAGTGAAAATGTTGTAAAAGCAAAGAAATTGGTCTGATGCTGATATCATCAGAGCAGCTGGGCCTTGGTGGCATTAAATTATTATTAGCTTGGATAGGCAGCACAATGATGAGTGGCAGTTGTAAACTCAGAACCCGAAATCAGTAAACACTTTTGCCAAACACTATTATAGTCAGTTCATCAGTCATTACAAGAGTTTGACAACGTGAGGAGTGTCAAGCACCAGTAATGATTATTGGGAAAAAAAATGGGAAAAAAGTGGTGATGAATTTAAAAATAAAATAAATGTATGACAGAGTTCTTTGAACACTGTGATAGTCTATGTATGTCCACGTTATCCACATATGCCTCTAAGTATTGCTAAGCTATTAGCCATCATTGGTTTTGCTCATATATTTAATTTATAATATATATAATGTGTAAACAATGGTGAAGTTTAAAGGTAAAGGTAAAAGTTGTCCCAAAGGAAATTCACCTGCCTTCGATACAATGCATTTATTTTTTTTCAAAATGGGTGCACTAGAATACCAGAAAACTGCCACTTTAAACTTTGGCCAGACCAATAAGGAGGGGCTTGGATTGTTTGATTGCATTCACATCTGTCTACAGATGGCTGTTGTGGACTCTGAGTACTGAAGGCCAACGTTGAGCCAATTACAGCGGTAATTGCAGAGCTCATGGCATTTGGCCGTGCAAAATGAGAAACCTGTTCAGTGGCTGGCTGGGTACTGAACAGAAGGAGCCGTGTAATCCTGCGAATCGCGACAGAGCATCTCTGCATCGAATGGGCTGTTGTATGCAAAAAAAAAAGAAAAGAAAATAAATTGGACACGTTATTGGTTTGCGCTTTTTTATATCTTTTTCACCGTGACACGGTGTCAACTCTGTAAACAAACCACATGACCTGGTCAAATATTATCTGACTGGGAGAGCACACAAATAGACAGGAGTATGAAAGAGATTCAAATTCATCTGCTGCAGAAGCAGCAAATACAGACACATTTAATATGGGAAGGATTATGCCCTGATGCAAAATGCAGATTTTATTGCTGTATGTTGCTCTGTGCCCGTGTATCACGTTATTTTCCATAGAAATGTTGTTTGTCTCATAAAACAGATTTGTATCGTACTCGGACAAGAATTAGAGAAAAAAACTGCCTCGTGTTCTATTTCAAAATGTTTTCGAAAATTATTTCGAATGTGTAATAATAATGTGTTTATTTGAGCAAGAAGTTGCCAATAACACCCATCAAATGATTTACAGAACAACAATATGTATTTAATTAACTTCTTAGTTATTTTGTGTCAGAGGTCACAGGGTAATCTTTTTATCACTGAATTTTGTGTAATTCATTTCTTCTGCTAGACTATATCCAATTTTCCACATTTTGTTTCACAATTTCCACTTTTTAAAAAAAGCATAACATTTTCAGACAATAATACAAACACTAGTCACAAACACTTCCCTCTGACTTCACAATGATTAAGCAGGTGAAGTCTGATTCATTCATAACCGCACTGCCAAAATATGAGATCACTTAGACATTGCCGGTGTTGTCAACATAAATTCTCAATGTTTTCAAAAATCCTGACTCGTCATTGCACCTTTCACCATTGTTATTCAGTTCAGGAACAAACAGTGCCTGCGCAGGCAGCCATTTTTCAACACTGACCTAAAGCAACCCCCAGTGCCCATCATCATTACAATGAAGAAACACATCAGCCTGTACGACAGAATAGCACGGTGTTGTGTTTTTAATGGTCCTCGGACGACGGTGGAGCTTTCGCACAGTCGGGCTTCACAGACATTGTTCGGTTTCGGTTATTTCCTGTGATTCGTTGACAGAAAGAGGAATGTTTCCCGCGCTGGGTTTTGCCGTGAAAGAAGCTCAAATGTCTCGAAACACCGATTCAACTAGTCGGGTTTCCTGCAGGGTCTGTGGATCACGCTGACTTGCGAGCATCTCACAGTTTCTGCAGATGTTCCATTGTATCACATGATGTATTTGTTGTGCCAAAAGCCTTCACCGGGAACATAGGTGTTAGAAACGAACGCATGGATTTGGCAGCAGGTAGCAAACTCTGGTTTAACCACAGACCTGTTGTTTACCAGCCTAGTGTCAAGCTTAAATGAAAGCAACCAAAACTGAATATGTGCAACTTGCACTTGTCACCAGACATCTGCACGTTTCGGCTCTATTAAATTTGTGGCCCGTCATGCAGCATGAAAACAACTTGTCACTCTCTGCTGACCTCCTTTGTTTAAAGCCCACTGCTGGTATCTGCAGAAGTGTCACCGCTGTCAGGATTTCTTTTTTTTTTTTCGTCCTCAGTTACCATTCTAATGTCTCCGCACCCAGTTGTGACGACTGGTTGTCACTTTTTGAAAGCGACATGTCTTCAATGATAATACAATATTCAAGCGGACTCTCTTTTCATCGATTTTTTTAATCATCTTATACGCAGTGTTGTGTGTTGTAAATTTAGGTATTCTGGGATAATATTGAGTATGTAGCAGTACTCATTTATGAAGCACCTCATTAAAGGCGTGTGTTGGCCCCTCCACACCTCTTCCCTAGCACGCAGGGCAGTAAATTGTTGCTGATGAGCTGGTGTGTCTCATCAGTTTTGCTTCAAGAAATAATAATAATAATAAAACAGCTAAGGTGACAAAAGCTGACAAAACCTGCTGAAAAAAAAAGTGCGTTAAAAGTAGGGTTCAATACAATAGTGTCCTCCAGTGCTCGGCTATGCTAACTGTACCTCATGATCTTGTTTCTTCTCCTGGAGTGTAAAGGCAGCCTTGCTAATCCTATGTATCCTATACTTCCTCTGACATCCCAGAATGCCTCAGAGGGTACATTTTTATTGATATTTTTCTTTAAAAAGTTCCTGACTACTTCACCTTTCAAAGCTAACAGACAACTGCACTTTACTCGTAGTCAATGATAAAGCAAGAAAATATCTTCCTCCTTCCTTCTTGTCTTTAACTGACCAATTGCTGGCCAGTGCTATGACAGAGGGTGTAAATAAACACCTACAGTACATTTACCACCCAGGTCTGCAGTGGAGGAGAAGACCAGCCTTTTACCAAGAGTGAAAAGTGAATGTCAGTGGAGACATTTGTGCCTCCACTGCCCCCAAGTGGCTCACACAGGCATCTTCGCCTTCTGCTTGAAGTCCTCAACTTTTTCCAACAACTGTAGAGCTCGCCTTTTCTCTCTCTGTCTGCAAGAGTAACTCCAGCCAAAGGAGTTGTAGATGCATCTCATCCTGGCAGTCTGACATATGGACGGTGTTGCCTTTTTTTCGATGACCACTGTTCGACGGGCATCATGCTGACACAGTAAACCACAAGCGCAAGGTCACCTGTTACAAATCACTCACCGGGCTCTGCCTCTTCTTCCACTCCTGCCAAAACACCACACCTGGTCCTTGCCCTGGCTGGCCACTGTAGCCCACCTCATGAATCAAAGGAAGGGAGGCAGGGGCAGGAAGAGTGGAGGAATTATGAGCCCTTGGCTCCGCTCTCCTGATTTTCCATTCTCTCTCTATCCCTCTCTGTCTTCTGCACCTTTTACATTTTTCTCTCTCTCTCTTCTGCATCTATCTGTCTGACTGAGGAGGACCATAAATCTTCTGGTGTGTGAGGTTATCTGTCTGCCTAACTGTCCCCTGCCACACCTACCCTGCTACACGTTTCAATTTTTCTCTGTCTTTCAGTGTTGTTGATTTTTCCAAAGGTGATATTGATGAATGCCCCTTCATAAATAAATGCCAAAAAAAACTCTAACTAAAATTTACTAATGAAAATTAAGCTCCTGTTCTATATTTTTCTCCCTAATTTAAACACTTCAGAAAGTGATAATACATTTCATTCAGCTTTGGTTAAAAATGTGATAAACATCAATGTACAAGGAAAAGGAAATTCAAATTGTTAAGATCAAAGTCATATCTGTCTTTTCAACATGACTTTAAATCATCAATCTTTGCTGGAAGGATGAAAAGGACATCAAACAAAGAGTCCTCTGCCTTTACCTACCTCTGTAAACATGGTTTAGAAGGATATAATTACTGCTTCATAAGGCTTAAAATGTGGTGGAACCACCTTCAAGAACAAGTCATACTCCAGCTTGATGGACTATTAATTGGCCAATGCATTTCACTGTTCATTAGATTGACACAGCTGATAAATTCAGCACCATAAACGTGTGTCTCCAGAGACGAATGAGATAATTATCTTTACAAAATGTCACTGTAAGTATATTATTAAGCATATTGCTCTTGGGTCTGTGTGCCTGGGTGGACATCAGCTGTAGGCCCACACTGTATACTCATGAAGTAAATCACACATCAAGTATAAAGACATGTGGCAGCCTCTTCCTCTCTCTCTCTCTCTCTCTCTCTCTCTCTCTCTCTCTTTCTCTCTCTTTCTGTCTTTTTCCCTCTCTCCACCTCCGTCCTCTCTTCCTGCTGTGCCTACAAGTAAGCCATCTAATAAACCGGGACAAGCAGGGATGCGGTGTGGCCCAGACTGCGGCCTGCTTCACTGGACCTCAACACAACCATTTCATCTGTTAAGCCAGCAGGCCAAATCAAGTGGTCTTTATTAAAGTCGCTTTGATGGATTCTCCCACTGCCTCCCTCTACGTGATCTACAACCTGTCCAACCCTTGGAGGTCGTAATAAACTTGTCTAGCAATGGGGTCACTGCATGCATGCAGCGCGGGTGTGTGTGAGTGTGTGTTGGTACATGCGTTTCTGTCCGTGCACACAGTTCAGCCCCGATGTCAGGAGCAGTGCATCACGTAGTTACAGCTTCTTATGCTTCAGATTATATCAGCAGTTGCCTCTCAGCTCCTGATGTGATTGCATCATATATTTATAAACACATTTGAGACAGACGGTTACAGTAGCAGCGTTGTTATCCATTTGAGTAGTTTTTACTGTCGCGTGGAGCCCCCGGGCCTCCCGCATGTGTCCTAATAGAGTGGTAAATCAGAGGATCCTGGATCCTGGTCTTTGAGAAAAAAATCAATAGGAGTTGTAGTTTAGTTTAGCGTATGTTTGCCCGTAATCAGACAAATATCTTTTATGTTTTTGCAATCACAGATTGAATTAGCGAGGCGTGTGAAAACACCAATACCGCAGTCACGGTCCATTGATCCCCGTGTCAAATTTCTGTAGTTATATTCCACTTACAGCTTTTACAAATCAAAGGGTGTATAATACAGCTACATTAAACAGAGAAAATGGATTTGTGGACATTTTCTGTCCCTCATGAAATCAATGACAACAATTAGACGATGTTGTTCAAAAAGGTTGTCCCCATTGGTGGATTCCAGTTAGCAGTCGTCACCAGTGTATCATCAGAAATGCAGGTCACCGTTGGTTGAGGTTTAAACCGATGGGGCCAGTGTTATTGGATGATTCATCTGATTAATCGAGCCATTGTACTGGAGGTCAAAGGCATTAAGTAGTTTGTGTTTTCAATAAAGTAAGAAAATAATGGCTGCAAAGTCAAACAGGAAATGGACATGTGTGTGTTAATAGGTATCATAGCCTTCATAGATTTTGGAAAAAATGTAATTTGAGCAATTAATAACATTGGTAAATTCTTTAATAGATAAGATCTGAATTAGGCCCTCAAACATTTTGGGGTGGATCAGTCTGAAATAATAGTTTTTTAAGGCTCAACTTGTAGATTTACAAAATAAAGACCTTTTTTTACTTTTGATGATTGCACAGAATGACTGATTAGTTTTCTTATGACTAAGAACAGGTTTTTTATGAACATTAATTGTAATACAATGATGAGAAAAAATCCATAAAGAAAAACAAATAAATTTAAAGATAGAAGTCTGCATGATTGACAAATGCATATTGTTTTTATCACTTTGGTTCCCTTCTCATCAGGCAAAGAAAAATTTACAAAACATTATTTGTTGATCCTAGTCCAAGAGTCATTGTTTTGTTTCTGGAACACCACACTAGGACTTTCAGCAAACTGCGTTTTGAGTCTTTGCATGTCCACAGGGAGTGGTGAACGTTCCCTCCTGGTGTCCCATCACAGGAAGCTGAAAAGCACCAACTGGGCCACAGTCCCTCCAACTTTTTTCTTAGTACTGTTCAGAATGTTCCCTGTTAGTGGTACATACTTTATAATAGAGCCATCAAAGCTTTGCTGGTCGCACCATCATGGTTGTCATAGTAGCCATCACATTTGGACCCTTCCAGTAGTACCATTTGATGCCATTGTAGCGAATCACACTGGAGGACGCCGGGTAATAAATGCCATTCAGGTTTGACGGACCACAGGCCTCAAACCACCAACCTGCAGTGTGGGAAACAGGCCAGATACTTCAAGGGCAAGTCAGAAGTAAATGTTCCTGAGCTAGTGGAGGCCATTACTGAAATCTGAAAGTGTATTTCAGCAGTTACTCAACATAGAGGAAATATGAAATGTGACCCTGGACATTTACAAGAAGATGCATAAAAATGTTTAACAAGACAACTCGGAAGGAGGGAAACAGGGAGATAAGTCAGTACCTCCTGATGCCAGCTGAGCACATTTGCAAGTGCAGTGATCGTTGTCTCTGTCCCTGGTGCTGAATTGAGTTCCCGAGTGGGTAAGGCTACTTGTTCTTCCAGCTGTGCCGCTGAAGCCTTCGGCATGAAGGCTGGTATTAGGTGGTAGAAAATGTCACAGGAAAAAAATGTTTAAATATAGTGTTAAGATCTAAGTATATTCATAACGGTAAAAAAACCTCTGTTGGTCAAAAAAACCTGATCATGTTTTTAAAATATGATCCACTGGGTCGCATCATATTTGTTGTTAAATTGTTAAAACTCAACAATAGTTTAAGTAAATGTTTCCTGCATGCATCACTCATTCAATAGTCCATGGTTTGTGTTAATCTCAAAAGCAGTTGTAAAATTGCCTTTTAAAGGCAACTGGACTGACCTCAAGTTAAAGACGTTTTGCCTCTCATCCAAGAGGCTTCATCAGTTCTAGTTTTCTGGTGGGGAGTTTCCAGAATATTTATCCACCCCAAAGGGGGGTGTGGTGTCCAGTAAATTGGTTATGGGCCCGGACAGTATCACTGTTAAATGGTTCCCCCTCCCTCTGGGTAGGGGGTCGTTGGAATTACCTGAATGGAGGTGAGAATTACGGCTGAACTTTGGATGAGAGGCAAAACATCTTCAACCTTCTTGAGGTGAGTCAAGTTGCCTACTTTAAAACTGTTTTTGAGATTATTATGCTGACCTGGATGACTGAGAATATCCACAAACGTGGTTTGTGCTGTATTTGCTTTCTTTTTAAGACCCTCAGTTAAGGATACATCTGTGCTGCTCACTGTTTCCTCCTTGAAGGGCAACTTCCTAGTTCCAAGTTCCTGGGGAGCCACCTCGCTTGTGTATTGCAAAGACAAATAGGATTGGTTGTCATTTATGATGCTTAAAAAAGTCTTGTCGTTTTGTATATTTGCCGATAAATGAAGTTGTTTCTAGTAGTCTGCCATCAAGACTACTAGAAACAACTTCATTTATGTTTTTGTGATCTGTACTGTTAGGTTTGTCTACCATACAATAGTCTGTGTGTATGGCTGAACAAATAAAATACCATTTTAATAGAAGAAAAACAACAATACACTTTTTGTTGTTCACTTTGTTTAAATAATGTTTTTCTTACCTTTGGGTGTCAGTATTTGAAAGTGCTGTAATTGAAAGGTACGACGTATAATGTCACCCTACCTGGGCTGTGAAATCAATCACATTTTTAGTCACTTTTAGGGATGTCCGATATTAACCTTTTGCAGATATTGTCCAAACGCTTAATTCCCATTTCCGATATCAACCGATAAATAGATTTATGCAGCCTTTTAGATTAAAGGCAGAGGACACCGTTCATTGTGTGCAGTGGTACTGTGTCACAATAACAATACAGTGCACAATACATATAAAAGTTTCACTGTTTCACTTAAAGCTATTTTTAGGTCACATCATTGCACATCATACCCTATAACAATTCTTACCGATATTACATTATTAAGCTAATATCGGTCAGCCAATATTATCAGACATCCCTAATTAATTCCTTAAATAATTGTTATATTAGAAGCTTAATAACTCTGGCAATTAGTCATGATTAATCGAGATTAATCCACAGCTAGCCCGTTAATAAGGCCAAAAAAAAAAAAAAAAAAAATCCAGAAATACAAAGTATCTTATGAACCAGTGTCAAACTATAATATAATAATGGTGCAATACATAAAACAGAGCAGCCCAGGGTCTGAGTCATCGTCCATGAGTGGGCGTTTCTACGTCTGTCCATCTGGCTGCGTGTCGGTTTTGGTGTGAGGAGCACAAACGAGAAGGTCAGCCCTCGCTGTCTAGCCTTACTCCTCTGCCCCGCTGTTCTGTCTAGTTAGAAACGTGTTCCCAGAGTTATGTCTCCATCTCCTCACCTCTAGTTGTACTGTCTGTAGAGACTACCTACAATCCTGTCAGATTTGAAGTTGGCAGTGGAGAGCATTGATGGTGGAAATCATAGAAATAATAGAGGAAACCAATAAGTATAAAATATTCTAATGTGCAGGACGGCCTCAAAGCATGTGAAACGGCCGAGACAGACCACAGACCAGCACCGAGTCATTATTAAGGTGACTGTCTCGAAACTGGCATTTCTGCATTTCGTGTTAAATATACACCAATACATAAAATGAATACTCACTTCCTTGTAGGTCTTGCTGTAAGAACAGATATTCTTGGCTGACGGTGGGGAACAGAAATCTGTCATTGTGATGATTAATGTCTGACTGATATTAATGAGCTGTAGGTGAAGACCCCTGTACTGCCCGGGGGAGCAACGCGCAGCTAAAGACAAGAATTGCGTCGGCTGACTGGACATATTTGTGGCCAAGGTTTGTAATATATAATATAAATATATGTTAGCGGAGTCTGAACATCTTGTAACAGTTAAACAGTACGTGTTTTTGGAGGTAGCAGTTTGAGGCATATACTGTATATTCAGGTGATACATTGTGATACCTTCAGTATCAACAAACTAAATATAGAAAATGAGAGAAATGGAATTCATGTGATTATGATTTGTCACCTATCAGAGCATCAGGCTTCGAGGTAGGACCGTGTGAATCGGTCCAAAATTCCAACTGGACTATTGTGCTCTATTCTTTATTTTGTCGGTTTGGGCTTCAGCACACCCACACATAATCTTCTTAGGGGAGCGCAGAGTCACTGGTGCTTTGTTTTGGTTGTCAGTTCCTGGCAGGAGCAGGTAATGCTGAGAGTTCCTGTTATACTTCAGTAGATGCTCCTGCCCCCCCGGGGGGAGTTATTCAGGGGCATTGGTAGCCGGGGTGATGGGAGAAAAATGCAGGCAGACTAAAGTGGCTGTGTTCCCTCCACTCAGCTCATCATTTTGAATGACAATATTAAAGATGTTCCAAATGGTTCTGTCAGCTGAATGCTCCAGGACATAAAAGCTTAGAAATTAAGAAAAACAAAAACAAAAAGAAATACAAACTGCTTCTAATCTGTTGAGCTGTTAAGAGCCGTAAACCCTGATGGAAGACGCCCACCGGAGAGACATTTAGCAAACGGCTCGGAATACAAAACCTGATCTGAATCGAGCACATCGGTTATCGTCATTTATTTGTGTTCAATACTGAAAAAAATAAGAATTGTGGGGGAAAAAAAAATAGAAAAATTACAGCTAATGATGTGACGTTTCAATTTGTGAATTTCATGCAGACCAAATACAGAAGTTACCCTTGTCCCAGCTCACAACTTGGATGGAGAAGGTTTGTAGTACCGTATATCTACAGTAGAGGAAGTACGTGTGAAGACTACGAGGTAGTATGTATTTTCAAGAACACACCAGGCTCCAGTATTAGTACATGTTATCAGATATGAAAAGGTGGTAGGGAGCCAACTGTAATGCAGTCCTCTGCTGCGAAGATGAAGTTGATTAATTGAAGTTGTTTTGTATTCTTACCTGTAATTGCGGTCTTCTCCGTCAATGTAAAAGCGCTCATAATGTGAGAAGGCTTCGTTCCCATCTCTGTCTTTGAGTTGCACGTGCAGACTGTAATCCTGCGAACTAGTCAGTTGGTGAATGATATCATTTCCCAGCCAGTGTTCCCCAGACAGCTCTCCAAAGCCCTGGATTAGACATAAATACAGAGAAACAATAGAACAGGAAAATGTTCCATCAAGACAAATGGTTTGACCAGAGCCTTGCCAAGTGTTTTTGAGCTGCTAGAATCAGACTTTTAATTTGGAAATCTAAAGGCCCTACACCACATATTTGGCACAGTTTTAAGGCTAATATTGTTGGTACTGCAGCCATTATTAGAAATAATAAAAACGTATTTGAGTAGGATTCTTCAGTGTGCTAATAAACAGGTTTTTATCTTAGCTCAATGTCCAATTTTTGAGTGATTTTGATGACATCTACTCTAAACAGCAAGCCGGGCCGTGTTTTTTCTCTTGTAATGTTCATGTTAGAAAAATGGTAATATCCATTGACACCAGGTAATATCAGACCTGAAAAATAAACTTTTTTTTTTCATTTTTATTTCCGTAGAAACATTAAAATGTCAATTTCTGAATTTTTCCAATTTGCAATTTAAGATTAGAAAATAAGTTTTCCTCATTTGCCTGGTGGTAGCTGCTTATCAGTTGTTCTTTGTTGTCACTCTGGTACAGGACACCCTTATTGTGATTGTGTATGTGTTTGCTCGGGCACTTGATTGTGTCTATTGCATGTGCAGATACTCTGCAGGAAGAGGGAGAGTCGATGGAATATCATTAGGGCTGACAGAAAACACGTAAGCAGCCAAATACAACAAGTACAGGTCCTGGACTCTCAGACTGGTTGCCTCCCGTGCTCCTGAATGTAAAGCTGCACAGAGACCATTACCGAAACCTCTCTGTCCAAGCCAAGTATAAACCGAAGTCGTACTGCCATAAAAACCCACCACTTTATAATCGCTCCAGCTGCGATGAAAGTTGACCGATCCATTAGTCCGATGCTGCAGCACGGTCCACCCACCACCTCTGGTCGTCATATCGCAGAAGACCTGGAATGAAGGGAACAATGTCAAAATAGGAACAGGCAAGGTTTTCCTTTTTCCGATTCACAACAGTTGTTTTCGTCACTCATTAAATAGCATGCAGAAGTTAAAGAGCTTCTATTTTTTGGTAATTTTTTAACCCATCTGAAGATTGATTTTTAGTTTTTGCAGTTTGTTGCATTAGAATTATTTCACCAGATACTGTGATTAAATATATATTATTTAAATATTTTTTAAAAATAAAATAAAATAAGACCTACAAACATAAGGACATTTTACACAGTGTAATTGTAACTTCTGTTATTTATCGTAGTAAGATCTGACACAATAGTTGTCGTATTTGGTTGGAAGGAATATGTAGACTGAATAGTTCCTTTTGAATATTGAATGTTTTGCCACACGTTTTTCTTACAAATCTTACTTCATTGTCTTTATAATACACATTATATTTGACATCCCTTCATACCCTTCAGTGTCAGGAAAATGTTTGACTCTACATATCTGTTCTTCAGTTTGGATAAACATTGATGAAGTTGAACTGTCGTGTTTGTCTGAATGCATGATTTTAGTCACTGAAACGAACCGCTGCTGTCTCAGGAGCTGTGCAGTGTAGATACAAGTACACAGCAAGAATCCCCAGGGATTTCTCTGTTTTTCAACGTTTCCACTGACAAATATTTTTGCAATGATTCAAAAATAAATATTTCTCGCCCCCTTTTTTTTTTACAACGTAAAGGCAGAATCGAGATGAACAAGCACTCAGGCATTTAACCGCAAGACTAGTGTAGAATTTATCATACTCTACTTTGTTTATCATACTCGTAGGCATTTATTTGTCCTCTTGCCTCTGTGGTATTTGTTGGTGACAGACAGAAAAATGAAATACTCCTAAATGTTGTGTTCAACTAAACAGGCCCTGATTTCAGTAGACAATCATTATATTTTGGTACATATACTTTTTGTTGTATTGCTCTTTAGTCGTGCATCGGGACATGTGCGATAGCTTGAAAAAAGTTGTAAAGTTTCAAAGGACATCAAATTTGTAATGCAGACACCTGAGGCAGTATAATCTTCAAGAATTATTATTTTACTTTCACGGAGGCTTTCTGTAAATTGAATTGTTAGTTCTAAAAAGCCTCTAATGGTTTCATTATATGATCCCTGAGCACATGAAGTCCTCGAGCGAATGCATAATAGGATATACAAAATGGAATAAGATTTCATCATCGTTATAATTTGCAGCCGCGGTGATTTGATTAATAGTTTGGATGGATTAAAAAATGTGTACGCCTCTCATTGTCATTCCAGCACAGTGATCCCGGTCCAGACTTTTCTAATAAGCCAATTTCACGCTGAGAGCCATCTTGTCAGCCACAGTGGAATTGTATGACACAGTTTGAAAGGAGTTGTTTTGTAGTGAGAGTTGTTTTTGCACCATTAGAAAACACGTTTACAAGTATAGTCAGGAGGGGATTGTGTCGACCTGCAAACTAGATAAAAAGTAATGCAACTGTCATTTTTCTTCTTCCTGAAATTCCACCAAAGACAAACACAGCCCTGTTGTAGATGCCACGGGTGACCTCGCTACTTCAGGACAGCTTTGAATTCAGCAGCGCATTATCGCTTGCCACAAAGCCTTCAGGGCACAGCGGCCTCTGCTGACTTTAGTTTCAGCTTTGCGTAACCAAACATTACATTTGTCTGCTTTACTTAGTAAAAAGCAGAAAAAATACAACACTTCAGAGCAATCGTATAAATATATATATAATGCTTTATTACCTTGACAGTCTGTGTAGAGTTGGGGAGGCATATGTTGTATATTCCATCCTCTGTGACTCCAGATTGAAGTATATCTGCACAGTTACTGAAACAGGTTTGTTGCACTTTCGGAACATTGGAGATTTCTGCAAGAAGAAATAAATACAAGTTGTGCATATAATTATATTTAAATTATTATTTTTTAATTATTTTTCATAATTTAAATATATATATATAAATTAAGTAAGCTGAAAACAATGGTCTAAACAATCAAAGATAGCAGATAATTCAGTGTACCAGCAGTGGTCTACAACCATAGTTTGAAAACAATTGAAAAGAGCTTTTCAGTACTAATGATGCTGCAGGCTACTATTGAGAGCTTCAATAATCAATATTAAAAAATACATACATGTTATGGCCATGGAGTCATTTACTACTACTACTACTACTACTACTACTACTAATAATAATAATAATAATAATAATAACGATAATAACAATAATAAAGATAGTAAATTGGATTATATAATATTTTACATAGAATAGTTGGATTTTGTATTGATTTTTTATTTATTATTTATTGTGTTAAAAACTAGTTTCACACTGGACTATTTTGACAGTAGGGTTAACTTTTAGCCATCCACACTCTCTCACCATTGCAGTGGCCAACCATGGCCAGCAGTTGCTGAACGGTGTCTGAGAGCACGGCCTGCTGTCTCTGAAGCAAAGTGCTGTTGAGCGTTGAGCTGCCCATTTCACCCTGGAGCTGACTAACCAGTTGAATCTGCCTCTCAAGAAGCTCTTGAAGCTGCTGCTTTTCACTCCGCAGGCCCTGCAGTTCCCTCCCGTAACGGGCCTCCAGTGCCGAGAGCCTCTGCTCCAGAAAACTGTCGAACAGCAGAAATGTGTTTACATAGGCTTTCTCACTTCTTAACAAGGCACGGGAGAAAAAGTAATAATCGCAAGACTAATATTACATTAAGTTCTAAGATGCACATTTGGTTGCACCGAGGCCGATGAAGGAGACAGAGGCGGGCGCGGGCGGAAAATCCATTCTCTCAGCAGTTAGCTTTCACAGCGGAGGCTGCACAAACTTGCATATTTACACGGGGATGACTAATGGACTGCAGCGTGACAGTCTCATTGGGCCAACATCTTATTAACACCTGTATTGCAGCAGCACTCACAGATGGGCCTGCATGCTAAGCTGCTTGATCACAGCAACAAGGCAACAATCTCATTTTGTGTGTGTGTGTGTGTATGCGTATGCCACACCCCGACCTCTAAATGAATATAATAAATCCCTGCTGGCTGATCTTTATGGCTTTGACTAATGACTCTGCATCACTTATTTATTAAAACAATACAGGAACCCAGATTGAACAACCTTTTTTTAAGGCTTACACACAACCAGCTGCTTCACCTGACTCCCTCAGTCTTTCTCTGTGTGGCAAAAACGTAGCTTTACTAATCTGAGCCTTTTCTACAATGTAATCTTTGCTGTAGTCTTTGCTGAGTTGAAATTAAAGCTACACAGATTAACCAGCCGAACATGCCCAGAGGAGGCGTACCAACGGGTTCATTCTGTTTCTTACAGACGTACTGTAGCGTTACTGCAGCTGTGTTAGGTGGCTCCGTTAGCGACCTGCTGCGGGCTAACCCTGAAGCAGCAATTACATTTACAACTGTCATTCTTATGGAAACAAAGACTTTTTTTTTTCCAATTTTAGCTTGACTGAAGTTTTAAAAAGTCTTACCCTTGAGGCTTCAGTATCACCCCCCCCTCTACAGCTTCGGGTTGTTGTCTTATATTGTACAGATGCTTGACCCCTCCAGTTTCATGTATTATTTTAACAGCGTTTACCCCAGTGAAGATGTATTCATGTCAAACACGTTTTTTTACCAACTTAAAGGAGGGGAGTCAAAGGTCAAACCAGGCCTGATCTGTAACAGGTGTTGAGGCTGGGGTGTATTGTTCTCCCTGTAGATGGATGGAGTGAACCCATTCCCTTCACACTATCAACCGATCTGTCCGTGACCTCATGGCCCTGTTTTGACCTCGTGTTCCTAGAGAGGGAAGTGGGAAACCCCTCCTAGTGTGTGCTGGAAGCCACACACACACACAGTCACACAATGTGCATTATAATGTTGTTATGTGCTGCTTACATCACACGTCATTCAACATGCTGTTATCTTTGTATCAAAAGTGCTGGTGTGTATGCATGAACAGAAGCAGTTTATCAACACTTTGAATGTCTATTATGATTTTGCTTTTGTGAAGAAAACCCAACTGTTTTCACCCAAAATCAGTCTTTTGTGCACAGGAAGAGATGTGTTTTATGTTTCCCACAGCAGCCACGCAAGAAAGGGAAAAAGAGTTGTGAGGCAGACAAAGAAAACAGCACCACCTACGCCCACTAACATAAAGTACAACCTGTGCAGAAACACAATTGGCACAGAATTCTATGACGCAAATGGTGACTAGCAGAAATGAAACGGCACAAGTTGACGACATCAAATAAAGGAAGAGAGAACAAAGATAAAATTGATTCAAATTATTCTCAGACTAGTTCCAGACACTCTTGCCAATTGTCAAAGTCTGAAACGTATTAGAAACATATTCACCCACCTGTTTTGGTCACTGAGGCGTGAGATTTCCTGAGACTGCAGCATAATGTGTTTCTCCAGTTGATTTGTGAATAGTGAGTACTCGAGCAGCTGGATCTCCAGACGACTCGTCTGGTTCAACACCTACAGATTGATTGAAAAACAAAAAAGGAAGATGAAACAGTGACATTAGCCGATTGCGTATCGGGATTGCCATTTCCTGCAGTATATTAGAAATTAGCAACATTTTGGGGTTTTAGACTGAATAAATCCGTTCAAGGTTAGGTTTAAGAGCATCTATCTATTTACCTTCCTTCCTTCCTCCCTCCCTTCCTTCCTACCTTCCTTCTTTTCTTCTTTCCTTCCTTCCTTCCTTCCTTCCTTCCTTCTTTTCTTCTTTCCTTCCTTCCTTCCTTCCTTCCTTCCTTCTTTTCTTCTTTCCTTCCTTCCTTCCTTCCTTCCTTCCTTCCTTCCTTCTTTTCTTCTTTCCTTCCTTCCTTTCTTTCTACCTTCCTACCTTCCTACCTTCCTTCCTTCCTACCTACCTTCCTTCCTTCCTTCCTAACATCCACATGCCATGCCAGCTGACACAGTATGTGTATATACTATATATATATATATATATATTTCACAAGAGATATATAACATTTTCAAGTGACACTTTTTGTTTATTGTGGTTTGTTTCAGTCGCTGGCAGAGTCTTGACGGACTCACCTGGGTCTCCACATCTGTAAGTTTGCGAGTCTGCTCTGCGGAGTGACTGAGGAGGTTGGTTCCCATCTCGAGCATGGCAGCTGTCTGGGTGTGCACCGCGGTCCTCTTTATTTCCTCCATCCCAGAGCGCACGTTTTCATGAATAAAGTTCTCCAGCTGTCAAGAGAGCAAACAGATCCTCGGAATATGTTTCCCAATGTCAAATGTAGGTCATGGAAATATTAAGGCTGAGAGGATTTACTGTATTGATGTAAACAGCAATATAAGGCCAATATGGTTTTTTTTTTTTATTTATTTTTTTAGGCTGACACCAAGACCTTCTCAGGGTCTATGACAAGTGGACACCTCTAACACATCCATCCCATGATCTTTAACAGGTGAGAAAACAAACTCGTTTTACAATGGTAAAATAACAGTCTTTTTTATTCCTTCCTGCCTTTCTACCTACATTCCTTTTTTCCTTCCTTCCTTCCCTCTGTCCTTCCTACCTCCCTCCCTCCCTTCCTTTTTTCCTTCCTTCCTTCCTTCCTTCCTTTCTTCCTTCTTTCCTTCCTTCCTTCCTACCTTCCTTCTTTCCTTCTTTCCTTCCTTCCTTTTTTCCTTCCTTCCTTCCTTCTACCTTCCTTCCTACCTTCCTTCCTTCCTCCCTTCCTTTCTTTCTTTCTTCCTTCCTCCCTCCCTTCTTTTCTTTCTTTCTTTCTTCCTTCCTACCTTCTTTCCTTCCTACCTTCCTTCCTTCCTTCCTTGCTTACTCCCTCCCTTCCTTTCTTCCTTCCTTCCTTTTTTATGGTGTAGGAGGCAGATCTGATGTGAGTCAGGTGTCATGATATTAATGTGCTGGACTTCATGGTTGATGTGTGCTGATGTGGTTAATCACAAGACCAGAGACAGGAAAAAAAAAAACAGCCACAACGGCAAAAAGTAGAAAAAAAATGGCAGGACATCTATCTTGTTCCAATAAACAGTTTTTCTTATTGTGGTTTGAGCAAATAGCATGGGAGAGACAAACGAAAGCTTTTTCCTGCAGTGAACGATTGAATATTGTTTGATGTTTATCGGTCAGTGGCCTGTGCTTTGCTGTAAGTAAAATATCGACCCAGGGAACATCAATATTTATAATGCTCTGGCGGAGAATAGAGCACATGTGGATGGAAAATGAACTCTGGGCAGATAATGCATTGCTTTTTTTTTTTAGATTAGTTTTATTCCGATGCATGTTGAGCATTCACGGCTGTATCAGGAAGTAATTGTTTGGCTGCGTGTAGGATTTCTGTCTTTATTTTGACTGCCTCCGTCTTTTACACTCTGCATCTTCCTCTCCTTGTAAACCTTTTGTTCGTACATCCTCTGTGAGAACGATTAATACCGCATGAAGAAAAAAAAAAAAACCCTTTAATGAGCGTTATGAAAAGATTACCAAAATGACTGAAGCCAATTCTTTAGAATAAGCCAGGCATCGTTACATCATAATCTGCCTTGTGTATTGAAGCCACGGTCACGTGAGTGTGTTCAAAGCATTTCCCATTACAGCCTTCTGTAATGTAGCTCAGTAGAAAGGTTTTCGCTTCACTCTCATCTCTCACTGTCTGCTGCATTAACTGGAGCTGTCATAGTCTGCAAAGACTGCGCTGCCGGATTAATCACATCTGGGATGGAGTGGGATTCTATTTTATTCCCTCTCCAAGACAAAGGAAAGACAGATGATTGCCGACAAATATGGTTGTATCGCTATACTGCCACTGTTTTGCCCAGAGACAGATTTGTTTACAGCCGCTGTTATTGATGACGCTCAGAATCGATTAGTGTCCTGTTCTGGCAAATGATAATGAGGGACTTATTAGGCTGTATGTCTTGATGAGAACTTTATCAAAACGCAACAAAGGAGGAATAAATAATGTGCAGGCTGCCTAACAGCATCGAGCCACTGAAACTTAAATAGATCAATTTCAAAAGCCATTTATTCTGGGCAAACCCCAGATTCCACATTCATTCAGTCAGATGTAAACTGTATAACACTCTGTCCTGGGGAATGTGGACAGCAGCAGGTTCTGCTGTTTGGCTAAAGATGACAGGTGAAAGCATAATTACACTAGTACAATGGTTCCCAAAGTTTTTGGTTTGTGGCCATTTTTTTTTGTCTACAATAGTTAAATAACAGTGTGGCCTTTAGAGAAAAAAAGAGCAAAATAAATATTAAATATTTTTGCCTACGCATCCAACCTATAAGGAGTGTATGAGCTAACTATAATAGCTAATAATAATAGCCACCCAGCATTGGGACATGATTTTTACAACAGCCCAGTTTGGTTCTTTATGAAAGGGTTCCTTAGACTGCTATACATATATCATTGTTCTTACTTTGTAGCTTATTAAATTTACATTGTTTGTTTAATATATATGAATTATTCTTACTGACGCTTGCAAATTATTTAGGTAAATAGCTAATATGAAGATGATTCTTGTCCCTTGCAGAATTGTTTTTTTTTTCTTCCCATCTTCAGGTAACTAGCCACCTTAATCCCTTCAAAAGGGTTTGTATTCTCGCAATCTGTGTTCTGTGCCTCATAAAAGTTCTAGCACCAGCATGTTTACATTCATCTGCCGAGCCCTGGAGGCAGCAACAAGAAACTTGATGGGTGGGAGTTATAATAAGTGGCGACTGAAAATAAAAGCCAGACTTTGTTCTGTGAAGCAGCCTTTAAGTTAACAGAATGGTTAGTTTGGCCCTGTTGCGTTCGTCCAAAAAAAAAGAGTGTGTTTTTTGTGTGTGTGTGTGTGTCATGACATGGAGAAGAAAACGCTCTTTAATAGCTGTGGTTTCCCAAAAGACTTGAGATTGCCGTAATGAGCGAGAGTGAGTGTGGGGTGCTGAAAAGCTTTACCATTCAGGGTCAAAGGTCAACGAGTGTGACGCTGGTGTGGAAATCCTAGCTGTGGGCTAAATCTTTACATGACTTTTTTTCCTACTGTGTGGTAATGGTTCCTTCACAGTTGAAACAATGGCACACAGTTTTTTTTAGCCCCACATTCATCTGCAACACGCTCACAGCACTGCCTTCTGGGATGCCTCCCACAGCAGCCAGGTCTTCAGCTCACAAGCTGAGCATCAGACCAAGTGTGCACAGAGGAATTGAGTGTGTGTTTTCATACGTGCGTTTCCCACTGTGTGCAAAGGGAGCGTGAACAAGACCGATGGAGAGAGAGATCTGATAGCGGATGAGTCGAGGTGCGAGGTGAAAAACAGTTGTTGTCCCGAGAGATGTGGTGTGGAGTCCAGATGTGTCCAAGAGTAGAAGAAGAGAAGTGAAGAAAGAGGGAAACACAGGACGTACACATTTCTTATCAAATGGCCAGTGTAAACATTCTTCTGTGAGACATGCAGAGAAGAATAGAGGGACGGGCGGAGGTGTCAGACAATAGTCCAGCACTGATTGTGTGCCCCAATGACCTTAGAAATGAAAACACTATTGTGCAGCCACTTCGCATCATTTCATTTGACTCAGTTGTAATTTGAGCTGAATGAAAGCGCAAAGATCGGCTGCACAGAAAATAAAAAAAAGACCTGCGTTAACGTGTCACTCGCAGATAAACACTTGTTTGTTTTTATAGCAATAAGACGTGCATTGTTTGAAAGGTTCAGTCCATAGTCTGTGGACTGAACCGGGAGTCAAAGGTATTGTTTGTCACAGGTCTGTTGTTGTTCATGTCAAAGGTTTTGTTTATTTTTACTTTTCAGCTGCAGTGCTAACTGCGGCGTTCGGTGTAAATGGAGGTAAATACTTTGTCGTGAGGCGACTGTGCATGCAGAAGCATCAAGGGAAAGTGCTAAGCTTGGCAAATCTTAATAGATTTTATTTTTTTAAAGATATCAAAACTAAAGTTAAATGCTGTAGTGTTAAGGTCACAGATCAGAGCTCTTACTTTCTGCAGCCACTGGGTGTTATTCTCCATGGCACTCTCCAGACTCTCTAGTTTCCTCTCCTGCGTGGAAGGATCCATAATTCGTGCCTTGCTCTGATCAGATTTGCTCGCGTCCGACCCAGTCTCAGACGGGGAGTCTCTCTGGAGGGTGTTGCTGACTCGGAAGTCCCTTAAGGATTGGCAGTGCTCCAACTCGGGGAGGATGAACGTGTAGGTGCAGGGGCCGTGCTGCACGCGGTGCTGTTGGCACTCGGCGCAAATGGCTGCAGCCAACAGGTAGGCCAGGTAGGCTAGGATCAGGGCCAGCAGGCGGCCCATGTCAGGGGAAGAAGAAGGAGCAAAAGGAGGTCGCTCCAGGAGGCAGAGACAAGTTGGTCTGTGGCGTTGACCTTTTATCCTTTGATGTCCTCCTGTTGGCTTAGTCCAACTTAAATAAGTCCCGTCTCCGTTTTATCAGTAAATCTTTTCCTCTTCAGGTCACTTCTCTGTTTTGTTGTTCCATCCACAACTCTTAGTGGCCTCTGTTTCGGTTCCTAGATGAAGAAAAGCATCTATCATCATTGCTGCAAAAAACAGTCTGCATTAAATTTTACACTTTTAAAAAGTTGTTTTTGTACTCAACCTTCTGTTGCTGGAGTCCATGAGCAGCTCTGGAGGAGAGAGGAGAGGAGAAGAGAGGAGAGGAGGGGTGGGTTTGAAAGTGGCCCATTTCAGGATTTTGGTGGAGTGCTAACACTCTTAAAGTAGAGTGAGTGAGTGAGAGAAAGAGAGAGAGAGTTTTTTCACAAATCACTGACTAACCCTTCTGTTTTTTTACCCTCGTCCTCCTCTCTGCCTGATTGTTCTAATGTGGTGGTTTCTCTAACAACTTTTTGCTCCCACCCATTCTCCCTCACCCCTCTTCTCTAACCCATTGACGGCCAGATTATGCTGTAAAAGATTCAAAACTACTCTTTTGTCAATCTTCGTTTCATCAACCTAGTCCTTACAATATTAATGATGCTTTATTTTTATATCCCTTTCACTTTGCAGTACCGTAAAAATCCACAAAAGCTGAGATCGACCAACGCGAGCCCTGTTTGGACAGATGCTTCTGTGCCGCTTCCTGTTCCTCTTCATTCTGTGAGTACTTTGTACTGTAGTTGCAGGCTATTGTTTTTATTTTTTAATCAAACTGTAGTCACTCATCTGCAAAAACAAATGCTATAATGAGATTTTTTTTGGTCAATGTTGCAGATACCTTTCATGCAGTGAAGTCACGGCCGTTCCCTGCTCCACATTCCCCACTGCCACTGTTGTGTGGACACTCAGTGAAGCAGCAGCATGTAAACCCAGTGTGTGGCCCACTCGCTCGTCACACATGCCTTCATTCGACACACTGTCCTGCGCTCCACTTGGCTAACGAGGTACGATTAAATAAAAGTAATTTACACTGAATGTCATTGAAAAGCTAACGGTGCGATTTCAAAATAAAAGTAATTTGATTGTGCTGTAAACAAAACACTACTCCTAGACACCGATCAACATCTGGTTTGTGCTTTTATTTTGCCAGTCTAAAATAACATGAAACATTTAATTATAATTTAAGGACTATGGTGCTATGATGTATGAGTTCAACCAAGTTTTATTTGTCAAATATATGAAGATAATTTAAAGTGGGATGAAGTCTTTTTGGCAAGGGACGAAAGCAGCAGTCATAAATTGAGTGGCAGTCTGAAGACCAAAGCATGGACAGGATTATTTATGGAAATGACTTGTTGAAGCACTCTGCCCTGGGTCCATGGTGTGCCTAGAAATAGACCGTGTGCCTTTGGATTGTTCTCAGTGTCTGGTCACGGTTATAGGAGTGAATGAGTGATTCTGCTTTCAGTTAAAGAAGTGAGTATCAGTAAACCGGAAAATGGGTTGCAGTTGTGCGCTGAGAGGAATTTGACTGTAGCCCTGCGCTCTTCCATAAAACGAGCATCTGCTGATAAAACCGACCGGGTCATTCTGAAACACTCAGTTAGTCCGATAGTATATCTGTCCGTGCAGCAGGAGCATAAAAGGAAGGGGATAATTAAAATTCATGTGCAATGGAATAAGTGTTGGCAAAGTACAGTATGAAGTGATGTATATGTACAGTATGTATGTTTTGGATGGGTTTTCTCTGGGATTGTCGGTTTCCTCACACAGCTCAAAAAGATTGACCCCACATAGGATTAAGTGCTGTATACCAATACAAACCTAGACGTATAGAAAGCTATATATAATGTTGTTGCCTTCCAGGTCCACAAACATGTCGTTTGGTGATTGGACTCCCTACAATGACCAAATAGTTATTTGTCCCTAACCTGGCCCCGGATTGGTCGCAGTTCCCTCTGCGACTTTGAAAAGGGATAAGCGGTAGATGATGAATGGATGTGTGCGAGCAGGTGAATAATACTGTTGGTGTGAATTAAGACAAAATAAGTTCTTTATTACGGCCCTCAGAGGCGCAGTGGCCCCGTAAAGACGTTGAATGGACTTGTAAAATCTTACTAGAGTTTCCTTTCACTGAGGCAGCCCACCATCAGGTGAACTGCAGTGCACACCTGTGGCTGCAGAGGTGATTTTAATATTAGAATGCACATTAGCATTAATGGAAAAAAAAGTCCTTATTTTTACACCACACACATTAATCAGTGATCTAAAAACGTGTCTCATTTAAACATGACCTGCACGCATTTCCATCAGAGCTGGACATAAAAGCGATGTTTGTTGCTTCTCTGGGAAACTTAAAGTAAACTTTAAGTGTATACAGTTAAGTGCTCTGTGGATTGAAATGTACGTTTCAAAGACAAACACGTTGACTGCCATATAAAACAGAGTAGGATGTTAAGAGAAATTGCCTGGGGGTTGTAACTCATAGCGTGGTGCAGTTAACCCCTCTCCAGGGGAAACCCTGGTTGTTTGGTTTAGTGTCTCCTGTCAGGCTAAGGTATTTCCCCCTGATCCCTAAGGGCTGTGAATCAATCCGCCTGCTGGATTTGAAGGTGACATTCAGCCTCCCCTTCCTCTCATTTAGAGAAGTGACTGTGTTCCTTCTGCATGTGCACCACTGGTCATCAACCCCTGTTCCATTTATAATCCACACACAACTGTGTAAAAAAAAGCTAATTTAGGTGCTAAAGAAATGTGAAATATTTTTATTGTTATTTTTTCAAAGTAGCTAAAGTTGCTGACAGCTTGTACTCGGTTTAATCTATTCATAGCCACTTTGTTATTATAGTGAAGAGGCCGAGAGTATCCACCCTGTGCCGCAGCTTCCGCCATGGGACTCATCACTCCACATAGCAATCCAAAGCTTCCTCTTGGGCAGGGAGGAAAGAGCACAGCAGAGACAAGGGGAGAGAGACCAGAAACACCCCAGATCCCCCTTAAAAAGTTTCTCTTTTCCCTTTTATCTGCCCAGGTTGCCATTAATGACCTTCTGTTTAAGGTCTGTTTATTTAGACTTGTAAATGAGAGCTGTGTGAGAGCCTGAGCTCACCCCGGCCCGTGACAGTCTTTTGTGGATTAATAATGATTACAATAACAATGATCGTGTTAGCGTAGCTCCCCCGCCCCCCTCGCGCTCCCTTGTTTCTGCAGGAACAAGGTGTCCAGGCAACAAGCGGCCCACGGGGGCTTTTGTGAAGTGTAGCTTTTACAATTTCCACAGGAAAAGTGATGAACCTGAATGAACTTAACTCAGCAAAACTAACATGTGATAAGTGCTGCATTCATTTAAGATATGAGGCTGTAATAAATGGAATTCCTAATTGGCCTGTTCTCTCGTGAATCAAATAAGTTGAGACTAAGATGCTTAAAAATAATGTTAAAGTCAGAGTCTTGCACATCCAAAACAAACAAAGTGTGATTCACCCCTGGACCATTTCTGATTACCATGCACGGATGGTGTTGATTTATAGAAGGCGGACTTCTGGCCCTACATGGCCATGTGTCCCCAGAAGACCTTTGTGACTTTCTTGTCAGACTGTAACATACATGCCTTCCCTGCTGTGTAAGTCATAGAAATAGATCAGGGATGTCTTTTTTGTCTTGCCTGTCAGGGCAGATAAGGCTGACCTCACCTCGCTTCCATGGCCATGGTGACCTCTGGATGTTCATCCAACTGGCAGAGGTCGGCCCGTGACTGGAGGCACTACAGGCTTTGAGTGAGTAGGCATTAGATCAGTCTCTCTTCTCCATAGCTGGGGTATGGAAGAGTGCTGTGGGAGGCATCGTAGTCTGTAATCCTGTGGCGGCCCACCGTAGGCCGGTCATCTGTGGTTTTACAACTTGTGATGGGAACCCCTCAACAGGGTATCGGTAGTCAATAAGAATGCATGATAATGAGAATTCAAATACTCGTTTTGACCTAATGCAAGGTGTTGTGTTATCTTACTGGAGCTCCGTGTCTCAGTTCCCTCACGTTTTTCATTAAAGTCCTTCAACAGTGTCAGCAGTTTGGAGGTATTTTAACATCAGGGACAAATACGGGAGCGATGGATACTGTAGGCTTTGTTCTGTTATTTTTTCTTTCATGACTGTCAGTTATTAGTTCATTGTTAAATTAGACAGGTGAACCTCAATCAAAGCAGACCCTCATCAGTGTCTATCTGTGTAGAACCATCTCATCATTTCCCCATAAAAATATCACTGACCCTAAAGCTTACTCTCTGTGATTCTCAACTTTAAAACTGCAACCAACTCATCTGCGACACACGGTGTCTGCTACGTGAGAGCTGCTTGTTACCCAGCCCAGAAACGATTATTCAAGGTAAACTTCCCTGTAAAACTTCACAGGAACCTCTTTAAAATGTGGTCACAATTAGTTCAAGTGAAGGATGTGCTGTGGTTTTCTCTCTTTGTCTTTTAATAAGACCAGGAGAATGGCACAGTTATAATGCATCAAAAGTCATGTGACATTTTCTCTTTTCATATATTCTTTATTCTCTCTCCAGCTCTTGTAAACTTTTTTGGAGTGGCTCCACGTGAAACTATACAGGCCTGTAATCTGCTTCATATGTGATTTCCAACGGCAGAGGTGGAGTGATTGAATGTGTGTGTAGGATTAGGAGGTACCTTGTTTGGCTGTTTGAGATTTGGTAATACATGCATTTTATGGGTGAGGTAAATATTGGAAGCAGCTGCTTTGGCCTGTGGCTGAGTTTTGCGTCGCCTTTGTTGTGTGTGAAGGAAAAGGAAGTACTGTTGTGAATGTCTCAGCAAATGAAAGATAATAACGTCCGTATTTGAAGAATTAGTGCAGAACTATAAATTCACAAGTTCTGTGTGTACATATTTTCTAAGCATTGATAAAGAAAATCAATTTTTAATAGCACGTCTTCTACACACTCATTTGTCAACTTCCTTTTCTTGACACCAGCACCTGGCTGCAGTTTTCCACTTTCTTATACCTCGGGGGGTATTTTTGTGCACATGTGGACACAAACTACAGGGTCCACTATGTGTAGTTTTGGTGTTCACTGATTGGAGCTCATTAGTGTGTGACCATACAATTAACGGGGTCCAGTAACCTGGATGTGTGCGGCTGTTTGTGGGGTTTCTTGTTTGCCTGCGTAATTGCTGTGAGCTTGCATCTAATGTCCTGTTAAATGCAGAGATCAGGCATGACAGGAAAACATGTTTCTGTTCTGGTTAAGAAACCATTATTAGTCCAGTATTCAGGACTTTGTTACTTCAAATCTATAAAAATGAGTATGACAACCTTAGGCTCCTGGTTCCACACAGCTTCAGTTTACTCTAGCACTTAGCAGTGAATGTGAGTCCATTTCCAAATTGAATCAGTACCAGCGTCTAACAGGCCAGATTAGAAAGCTCAGCGGGCCGTATGTGGCTCACAAGCCATAGTTTGCCCGCGTCCGACCTGAACATGTAGAGGATAATCTGGGGTTGATGTGTCTTGAAGCTCTGTGACAATTTATCCACATGACTTGTGGTTTCAACGTGTGAGCGTTTTCCATTAGGCTGTCCATCACGGCGAAGCTCATTTATACTTTTGAGCGGTCTCGTTAGAGGGTGAGAAGGGTCGGTTCGAGGAGATGGGAAAGGATGCTCATAAATGTATTGAGATAGGCGGCGGGGAGGCGAGGGAGAAATTGTAAAATGGTAAAGAAAATGGGGTTGAAGCGTGTGGACGGGGTGGCTGAAAACAAAGAAATTAAAGCGAGCGAGAGAGCAGCGGAGAGAAATGTTGACCTGAAGGGACTTGAAAAGTGCGGATGAAATGGACGAGCAGCAGCAGCGACGGCAGAGACAGATTCATTTAGACAGATTGATGGTGATGAGGGAGGGCTCGAGATTCCTGCAATACTGATAACCACTCAAGACTGCTCTGTCTGAGAAGATGGCCTGTGTCTAGTTTGTGCTTTTTTTTTTT